AGCCACTTTTTATACCTCATTTGGTGTTATTCTCAACTGATCACTCTGTGCCGGATCGGCTGGCAACCCACGATCGCAACTCGGGAAAACAAGAGAATTATTTCAAAACCTCTGACTGAACTTAGCATATCTTTCTTTATCCTACCTTAATACTCCTTGCATTTGAAAAATCCTAGGCCTTAAAACAGCTGAAATCTTGATAGACCTCTCTTAATAACTGCCAGGCAGGTGTGCTCTTCATGCTTCACACCTTTTTGTGTTGCGTGACAGATCAAAATCATTCGCACCTGGAGGGGGTAGGGAAACCGATGCGCGAAAACGAAGCCAAAACTTGTAATATTTCTTAAAATAAGACGGTTTGTCAATCGTCAAAGATCTTGCTATTTTAAGTTCAGTGCTCTAGGTTGCAAAGTCTTCGATATCACAGTTCCATTAAAGACAAAAATAAACTGTCCACAACAAAAACACTTTGAGTGAATCGGGTTTTCACTGCTCACAACTGGGTCATTGCTCGCTGAATGTATGGCCACTATGCCAGGTCAAGTTCGTGCTTCTTTCTTCACATGCAAGCCTTCCGGGTTTCCCCCGCAAATGCTGTTACAATGCCTTTTTAACCAAAACCGATCTTAATTATTTCTGACAAGTGCAGTTTTTTCCAAAGGCGATCAGCTTGTCAATGTAAGGGGCTTTTCTCTTTACTTTGATGTCCGTTGTTGGTATATCAAAGTGTTCACAGATATCCTTAAGCATTTGAATTGCAAAGATTGATAGCTTTGAATTTGCAATTAGTTCGCAGATGTCATACCTGTCATAGCATATTGGATGAGTAAGGGCAACCTCTTGAAGAACTTCACTTCTCAACTCGTCAAAGGCTTTCTCATTTTCAACGTTCTGGTTTTCTTCAAAGTCGCTTTCCGTCATTTCGTCATCTTCAAGTTTGCGCTTTGAGGACAGTCTTGAAAAGAAACTTGAAACTTGCTGACTCGTCAGAAATTCAGAACTGCTAAAAAGGCGGTTTCCATTACTGTCTCTAGCAGTCATCATTGACTTGGATACCGAGGCTGCATCTGCTTTCTTGCCGGTTGACTCGCCAATACGAAATTTACTGGATAAGTAGTCTCTCTGCTTCTCTGTGAATCGTGTCCGCTTTACGTGACTAGACTTAAGGGCCCAACCCATAGGTAAAAAAGGCTGATTCGAGAGGTTTAGCTGCCTTCTCACTTGCTCAATCTGTGGTACACTACCAGACTGACCTCGTAGCCTCTCTGCGTAACCAAGCGCTGCCCTGTCAAGGAGTGTTTCATGCTCCAAAGCACATTCGTGTTTTCCGAGGTCCAGATGGTGCTGTAAAGAAGAAAATCTTTGATAAACTTTCATACATCCTTCCTCGGGACAGGAAAGTGTATGAACAGCGGGTGAGGTCTCAGTCACAGTCTCTTCTTCGGTATCTGAGCATTGCTGGGAATTATCTGAGCAAGGTTGACGCCTGGATTTAACTTTGATAAAGTGTGCATTCGGCATTGTTGTGGCTGTATCCTCATCACATTTCACGAGATCTGGAATCTGCACCAACTGTGGAATACCGAGGTCCTCGAGACGTATGCACTGACCACGCCCTATTCCATACGCTCTCCAGACGGTCAGACTTCCGTTGTTGTATACAATATTGGAAATCAAACTCACTCCTGCAATCTTTACATTCAAGGACGGTGCTGGGTCTTTCGCTGAGATGCATAATGAAACGTCAACTCCAGGAACACCTCCCGATGACTGGATAGCGTCTACCATTTCCTTGGCAGTCTCGATGTTAGACCCTTGATTAAGGTGGATTTTCATGTGTGACTTAATTGAAGCCGCCTTTCTATCACATGGGCCTTTACCACCCTGTGCGTCTGAAAAGTCCAAGCGTTTCACAGTCACTCCACTAGCACAGCCTGTAAAGCTGGCCCCCACTATCGTAGCCCCGCAGTGGTAACAGCAGAAGACAGTTTTCAGATGAGGCAGCTGTGACTTTAGCTTTCCAATAACATCTTTCATAATGGAAAGCACCACACAGCTGTCTTGGTTGCAGGTTTGGTAAACATGCACAAATGTCATCATCTCCAATTCGTGGTTTTCCGCTCGTCGAGTAGCTACAGTAATGTGCCAAGGCATACCCCGCTTTGCAAACCAATCACTTTGGCTTTCTCTAAACTTTCTTGGCAAGAACTTCATGGCCCAGTCCTGAACCAGGGGTACGGAATTTTCATCGAGAGCATCAATCACCTCTATTCGGGCTTCATCCTGATTCACACAGCGGAGTAGGTGAGCTTTCCAAGCCCAGATGTTTTGCTTAGCTTGCCCTTCAATGAAGTTCACCTCTTCTACCACGTCACTAGAGACGTTGCTATCAGACATCTTTTCGATTGCGTCATGTATTTCAGCAAGAACTGAAGAAACTAGGTAACAGCGATCACAGGTTTCTAGATGATCGTGTGGGCAAATGATCTGATAATCCTTGTCCCTAGGGTCGCTTAGTGCATAAGCTCTGCAATGATCTGGAATGTTGGATTGCTTAGAAACATGCACCTGTAAAGACATTAATAAACAAAATTACTTACCCTAGATCAAATGTTACGGTTAAGGTGACTCGCTGGTTTTGCACTGGACATCTTTCACTTGGCATAACAAGACACCCGCTGTGAAAGAGAGCTTACAGTAGCAATAAAATGAATTCGATCAAAGAGAAAAGAAATCCATTAAAGTTTTTTCCAAGGTTTTCATCCACCTTCCACGTTCTTACCATTTTGAAGCTCGCCCCAGTCCTCGCTTAAAGACGGAAGGAATTCAGGTGATGAGCCCTTTGCAGCTCTGCCTCAAAAACGAGCAAAGTGCCCCTTACCGGTCTTTCCAACGACATTTTTCGTTAGCCGTAGGTTGAACAAAGTAAAATTCTGTGCACTATCGCAAGCTTTATTGAAAAGAAGCCTGCTTACTTGTTGACTTTTGTTATGCGCACAGTTCATTTGCCTAAATATTCATATTCGTCAGCATGTTACAGTTAAAATGAGCACGGTAACTTCCACTTTTTAAGACGTATTCTTACCTTATTACAACAGTGATCTAAGTTTTATGGAAAATCCATGCATGTTATGTTCAGTTCTTTTTTTAATACTAGGGAATCACCTTAACCGGTTCTGCGCAATTGAAGTATTAGCATTAAGCAAAAATGCAACTCGACTTTTTTTAACCAAACGATCACCTCAACTGGTTCTGCGCACAGTTTTATTTCACTAGGCTATTTTTACATTTCTCCTAAATTGAAACTGCGTAGGAACGACAAATCGCATTAAGCTAAAGTGAAAGTCTGCACGCGCGAGCTTTTTTCAACTAGCACCAATTAAGCACATAAAAACATTGCTGCTTGAATCATCACCAAAATCCTCTCCTGCTCGTTCCCCAGAGAATCTTGGGTAAGTGACTCAAAGACATTTTTGGTATCTTTGACTGGCACAATCGCTAGCTTCAGCTTGTTAATTGTGAAGTCTAGTGTTATTGCGATTTTTCTTATATACACAGACAAAAGTTATTTTGAAGTTTACCTTAAAGTCGCCCTTTAGATAACGCTTTGCGGACTTAAGTCGCTCCTTTTGATTCCTTGCCCAAGTCATTCCCATAAATGAATCGCCCAATCTATTTACTACGTCATGGAGATCGTCGAAGGCTTGACTGCCAGCACAACTTATATAATCTAGACCCTGTAGAGACTTTCTCACAGAGGCAGAACAGACATTGAGAATTCTCAAGAGTGTACTTCGGCTCAGTGTTGTAAAGCCACTTTCGCTTGAATAAGCCAAGTACTGCTTGACAATGGACTCTGGCACCATCATACGAATAACATTAGGCACTGTAATGACTTCCTTTGTTGACAGTTTTATTGATTTCTGCCCGAAGGGAAGATCCTGGATGACATGGGTGCTCGTTATAAAGTCCAAAAAATGATCAAGTTGAGTTTGGGATACCGCCATTCGTGTCTGGGATGACTGCAGTGATAGTGCTACACCTCCACCCTCGACCAGGATATGCTTCCTTGCTTCACTGAATTGATACCTCGTCAGATTGGGAATCCATTTCTTAAGTGTCTTGAATGAAACCTTGTCTACCATTATAGACAATATTTGTCTCCTGGTTTGCCAGTTACTCGCATTCCTGTAGCACTCAGCCAACGCCTCCATAAGCACTTCATCTACAGGCTCACGTTCGTTACCACTAGGGTTTTCATCGGAAGATTTGGATGCAACAAGTGATTTCCAAAGCTGTCCACTCTGATTTGGTGCTACTTCTTCTAGTACAGCATCAACTGCTTGATTTGCTTTGCGTAAGTGACGACGCCTCGTTCGTTCACTAGCCTCCTCCCATTGCGTCGTCAAAGGAAATCTCACCGGACTTATGTCTCGGCTTTCTAGAAAGGTGTTTAGCATTTCAAGTGGTTTACACTCCCGTTCGACATGTTCGTTTGCCTCGTTCGGCGAGTAGATACTTGTTGCTGGGGTCTGTAGTTCAAGGTAGGGGAAGGACGATGGTGTGCTTTCTGCCACTTGACCTACTGTGTCACTTGTTTGATCCTGCGGACGAATTGATGGATTGATTGATTAGACTGTTGACCCACGTTATAAAAAGACATGTTAGTCTTGTAGATTAAGTACAGATAATAATATGAATCAAGTGATCAATCAAAAAAAAAAGCAGAATGAATTAATTCAATCCTCTTTTCATATTAATGGAAGATACAATTCGCTCTGCATATCATATACTTTATATACGCACTTGGTATGTAAAAATTGGAGGTATCATAAAGTGATAAGTCTTTGAGAGTTAGAGTTGTTTTGACTATAATACAGATTAGCTTGTGTTGAAATTATAAAAGGAGCGGGGGAGGTAGGGGCACCTTGCGAACAGAGCCTCCTTTTGCCTTCTTGATCGAGAAGGAGACAAGGAAGGTCTACCTAAATCCCGTCAAACCTTTGAAGTCACCAAAGCCCAAACTTCTGAACTAGTCAATCTTGTTTTCTCTTGTAAAACTTTTTTTTTTCGAGTGAGAGCACCTGTTTTTTGATAAACCGATCGTCATAACTGAGCCCGCTGTAGCAAGCGCACGGCTTTTAGGCCTGGATTCGAAACTAAATCCTGGCAACATTCCGCGCATGGTCAACAAAAGATCTTACTCGATTCTTGCAGAGTCTTTCTTGAGTACTCCAAAATCGAGCAAGCGAGAGAAAAGCTCTGCTGGCAGGATGAGGAAGAGGTTGAAAGTGCTGCTATTTGCTTGCGGAATTGACAATAGTTTCCACGTATTCTGTAAATGCAAAAAAGAACCTTGTTCCCATCATGGTCCATCTTTGAGAGGGATTGGGAACGAAGCTGCTCAACCCCTTTCCTAGGAAAAAGTGACTTGGAGACAGTTACCAGTTAGCCTGTGTGCCAAATGCATAAAGGGGTGGAAGGGAAGAGAGATACTTAACAATCCTCGCTTCCTTTTTTCCCTGACTTCAACACAACTTTCGACGTCTCTCACGTATCTACATTGTTCCGTCTGTGTGACATTAATTTGTAGGTCAAGAAAGATTATCCGTTGTACCAAAGACATCTCCGCCATTTGAAATGTTACTTCGCAATCGTCAAACGCAACTTCTGCAGTTTCTGTGTCAGGTTTCCAGTTCCCAGCCAACATTTTGCTGCAGTTAGGGCATACCCCTAAGAGATTACAAATATCAGTAAGCACACTATTTTAATTAGGATTGCACATTCAAGTAAAAAAAAAAAAAACGATCTCTTGAACATTATTTTTTTGACATTGCGCGAAGTTCAAAACCGAACAGGTGTATTAACGCCTTTTTTAAAAAAAATCAGCGAAAATGAATTCTGCAGATAAAATGAAATTAATTTGATTAATTTCAGCTATATTATTTTCCTTTGTAAAGAAGATTTTTAAGTAACTTTTTTTTGAAGAAGTACATTAGCGTTAGTTCCTTTATTTTTTAGAGTTACAAAAGGGATACAAACCTGACCCAACAGGAAGAAATATCCCACTCTGTTGCAGCACTGTTTGTGAACCTGCTTTGCTTAGACCTCTATCCGCTTTTGGCTTTTTTCTCACGTCCTTACTATGACCTGATAATATTGATGGTATTCTGCATTTGTCCGGAACTCGGCGTGTCCATCCAATACCCAGCGATGCCCGATGAGCTGGACATATGTTCATTTGGTCAATATTTCGTGGAGAGGAAAAGATGGATGCCCTCGCCAGAATAAGATCAATTTCATCAACTATGCCATGAAACGCAAACATTTCTTTATGCCCGTTAACATCTCGCTGACAACTAAGTAGAGGAATGCATCCCGTTGCTTTGTTTCTGTCTCCCCTATCATGACCACAGTGGCCTCCCACAATCGATACGAACGAACAACCACTTTCCATGATAGTTTTTCGACGGATTGCAACTAACTGGTTTTAAATTCTCTTAACTTTTATATTTAAACAGGTGTCAAAAACTGATGGCGTCGTAAAATTAAATTAAGTACAGTAAACAGCTAGCGGATGACTTTTCGAAACATTTCAGTTGTAATGAAAAAAAATATATATTACAAACATTTAATAACTTTATATACAATTTTGTATCTTTTGTTCCTTAACAGTCTATTAATCCTATCACCTAGATTGAATTATTTTTCGATGTGACGCAACGTTATAACCACTGGATCCCTGTTTATCTCCTCGTTAATTAGTTTGGGAAGCCTGTGTTTATCCTTCAGGTGCCGCTGTCACACAACTCCTCTGATCACGTTTTAAGACCAAAGGTATATCGGCAGCCCGAAAGTTCGCTATCAAAATTGCAGTTTTTGTGAGACCTAAAATATTTCAATGGCAATGGATGTGAAATTTCGATCGACTGAAAAGAAAGCCGGACTGCAATACTGTGAATATAATAGTTCTGTCTGGGGTTACTTTCAAGCAACACGATTCTCGACTTGGGGACTGACAATCAGCAGAAAACAAGATGCCAGTTAACCAGAACGGGAAAAGCATCGAGGTAAAAAAATGTTCAGTACAGATTTCTTAAATACAAGTGGAATTGTGAGTTAACTTTCTAGTGGAGGCGTAAAGCTTTCGTGACTTGTCGAGCAATAACAAAGCGACGATCCCGCGATCATTGCAAAGTCTCATATTTCAGGCGAAATTTATTCAACTTCAGAAGGTTCGTTTGAAGCTCAAATTAAATTACCCAAGCCAGTTCTTACATATGTTTTAGCACAATGTTTAAATAGCTTATAGCTTGAGTTTCAGGTAAAACCAAGGTGTAGCACATGCCTATAATTTAAAACGCAAGTTACAGCCTAAATCTAAACTTCGATCAGTTGAAAAAGTATCCAAACTAAAATAAAATTGTTTATCTTCCAGATTATCGCTAAGATAAGAAATCACCACCAAACTAGCAGTAAAACCCTTTACAAGTTGATTTATTGGTGAATATTTTACCCCGCTTGCTTCCTTTTGGCTGGCGAGCGAAGTTTTGACAACGCCTCATTTTGCCTCAATTTTTGATTGTTTTCAAGTCACCGACCTCGAAAATTGATTTTGTCGATTTTCTCCCAATCGAAGCGGTCTTTTCAAAAACAAACTACACCACGTTTAGTTACTTGCTAATACCTTACTATGGACAAGATATGAGCGAAAACGATTTTTTGACTGTGGCCGCGAAATTGCGATTTTGCTCGATTTTTACAGACAGTTGCTCTTAAACTAGGAATAACGCCTCTGTCATGACAACCGCAAAAATATGTCACGCGATCATGTTGCTGTGTTAACCGCTGTGATGCTTCAGTGTGTATGGAGTTTAACTGGTGAGTGGATCAACTTTTTGTTGGTCTACGAAACCGACCTGTAGTAAAATCCACATGTGTTCATATTGAATATAAGTATATGTCACGGCAAGTTTTTAGTTGTAGATCATGCGCCCTATACTACTTCAGCGCTGTCGAAATCGCTTTATTGCGATAATCGTCTTACACATGCTGGTTAGATTCCTGTGCTAAAAATACAGTAAAATCATGCTTTCTATACCACTTTTATTCAGCCTAATTAAAATCGACTACATAAGTAGGTCGAGCATGATCGTCCGGGTGAACGGAGTCTGTTTGGCTTAAGTCCGTCAATAAGTCGTTTGTACGGTGTCGGTAATTATTGACTACGATTCAGTGGCGTTTGTTCGAAGTTAAACAGTTACCGGCACCGTACAAACGACTTATATTAACGGACTCAAGCAAAACTAACTACGAGAGAATGACTGGACAACCGACAATTTGACTAACAATACACGACTGTTCAAATGTGACAATAGACGGATCGAAACACACCAGTGACATTCAAGAAGGTTCATAGCCAATAACATCACGGCTTAACTGACAGACGACCGATAACATGGCGACTTAATTAACCAATCAGGTCAATAAGCAGATCAATACCATAAACTGAATTGATAAATCTCACTTTGATCGACTCTGAAGATAACTACTCAGCAGACCAGTTGAAGACTACGTTCACCCGGATGATCATGCTCAACCTACTTATGAAATGACCCCCTGGGCTCAAACCTTTCAAAGTTTTAAATTCACCTTATTCCGATAATGTTCTTACACATGCTGGTAAGATTCCTGTACTAAAGCAAGTAGTACATCATGCGACCTAAACTCGAAATCGCCTAATTCCGATAATGTTCTTACGCACGACACCAAAACACCTGAATAGGATGGTGTCTTAGATATTTTGGCTATTATACGAGGTTTCTTTATAGTATCATAATTGGGTGGGATATAAAATGACCAGAAAAAAGCATATTTTGGTTATATTTTAAACGATTACAGTGAATATGTTTCAAACGTTTACGCCTCTTGGATCACTACTTTACACCCCCTGGCTGGCTGGCTCTGGCCGTAAGTCTGTAACAGTCTTAATCTATAACCCATGTAATTTACATTTAGTATCAACCAATACAGTATTTTCATCATAATGTTTGATTTGAACAGCACAGTTTAGAAGCCCAGTGGTTACCTCTCGTTTCCTTAGCTCGTCTCTCCAATCACAACCTTCTTCTTGATGAATGCAGTGAACCAAGAGTGACTGGATCTCACGCTCAACAAATCGGTCAAGAAATACCTGCAGCGAACACAAACAGTTCATTTTTGCAATAGTAGAAAATTAAGTTTGGCAATTATAACTTGGGCCATGCCTAATATTATCATTGTCATTATCGTTTTCGTTATTGCTGTCGTAATCGTTATCGTTACCGTTATTATTGTGTGATCCTCTCCAGTTCTCTGATGATTTCTGAGTCTTTCAAAGCCATTCCTCAGCAGCATTCCCGCAGGTTAGAGACAACACTTTCCGGAAGATGTGAGCAGCACCAAGGATGACCAACAACTACCGTATGCACTTCCAAAAACGTAAGGCAGTCAACCTCCCATCAGACCAGTCATTTGCATTCTTCGAGATAGTTTGAAGTGCAGCAATCACGAAGGGTATAGTCACTCTCGTGGCTCGTTATTATTATGTTTGCTCTTTGTGTTCAACCGGTAGCCAGTTCCCGGTACAGGTACAACATCCTGCAACCTTAGTAGTCGAGAACCCGTTGGGGGATTGGTGCTGTTCCGAATAGGGCAGTCTTTTAAATCGGAGCCACATCAAGATTCACCCCTATGCTTTCAAGATGACCAACTACTCCTTTTGTGATTGTTCCAAGTGCCCTGATAACAATAGGCACAACTCTTGTTTTGACCTTACACAGTTTTCTCAATTCTCTTGCCAAGTCTTGATATTTATCAATCTCCTCTTTCTCCTTCAGTCCCACCCTAGGTACAGCTACATCAATCATTTGGCAAACTGCGTGTTGATTGTCTACTTAAGGCCTATTATGTTCAAGCTGATGGTTACTCTGCATGCTAAAATCCCAAAGGATTTAGACTTTCACGGAGTCTCGAACTTTTCCGGGGACATGCTTATACCATTAGTCAACAATTTCCAATCCGTACTTTCTGCACAGGCACCAATGGAAAGCTTTTGCAACGTCATGATGTCTACCTTTACATTCTCTCTGAGCCAACGCTGAGCATTCACAAACTATTTGTTATTATTAGTAGTAAAATCCAACTAGTGGTCTATTATCAATGCTGCGTTCTGATTGGTTGAGCTACTATTAGGCTATATGTCATAGCACACTAGTAGCGAAAAGTGCTGGCTTTGAAAACCAAAACAATGGCGGCTGAATCGCGTTTTGCTAGCTAAAGTTGTTTTGCCTCGATAATTTTGACCAACTGGTTGGATTCTACTAAAACAATTATTCCTTTCGCCCTTTATTATTATTATTATTATTATTATTATTATTATTATTTTTATTATTATTATCATCATCATTGTTGTTGTTGTTTTTGTTACTATTAACAGAAAACCAGACAGAGACACTCGAAACAACTGAAACATATATGAGCGATAGAGCAGATTGCTCATTGATCATATGAAACGACTGGCTTCTTTGTCAGCTTAGACCTATACATTTAGATTAAAAGCAAGCTATTACTGCGGAGTACTTCTTTATTCTGTGTGCTGCTTTCAAAGTCAGAGGAAATCACTGACAACAACTGAAAAAGCGATCACGAACCTGTTCTTTAGTGATATCTGATCCATCGATGATGCATTTTCCAACATCCTGCCTGTAAATGAAGGGAAAGGGATCAGTACATTTGAACTGAAATTATCAACACAATAGAAAGATTTAGAGCCACGATTACCTGGTCCGATTCAACTTGAGAATTACTCAAAATGGAAAATCAGCAGACAAAAACAGTTTAGAACGATTAATATGAAAACAACTAACGTGAAACTAACTATATTTTTGTAGAAGTAATAAACAGTAAAAGACAAGTAAATAGAAAACTTGGTCACCTGGTACAACTTCACGTAAACGTGACTCTAAATCTCTCCTATAATGACATCACATCACAGCATGGCTCAGTAATGGGAGAGAGATGTCAGATATCTAACGCTTATTTAGCAACTATTGCAGTTATAGCCAGGTGTTGGTGTACTAGTCAATTATTTACAGAATATTAACCAGTTATCTGTAGCACATATTTTCATAATTATCTGGCCCCGAAACTTGCTTAAAAGGTGGATAGTGCTATCCGGGCGCCAGACAAATCACTATCTAGTACCTATCAGTACGAAGGCAATCAATCGCGTCATCCGCTGGATAGAGATTTAACTGGTGGATAGAGCAATCCTACAATAACTGTGGCCTGCGGTATATCAGTTATCTGCAGTATGTTTGATCATCGACAGTATATCAATCGAGTACCGTTCGCCCCATGTCAGTAGCCTACCTAGCTGGGGTTTTTTTGGTGTATTTTTTGCTTTGAACCACAAAGGATAAAACACCCCAAAAAGATCGACAACTACGCAGGCTACCCTATTCAAGCTAATCCGGATTCCGTAATCGGGCAAAATTTTTGCTTGGGGGATGCGAAATCATGGGTTTTGGAGACCGGAATTCAGCTCAAGTCATCTGGAATCCCGCTGGCGATTGTAATGTGGAATTCAATTTCCGCTGACAAGGAATCCGGAATCCAATTGCTGGTTTCCTCGTGCAATCCAGAATTCTAGCCTGGTGAGTAGCGTAAAAGACAATGCCAATTCCTGAACCCTTACTTACTTTAGAATCGCCTCCACGCATGTCTTACAGTACCTATGACCACATGCTATTGTTTGCACAGCTTCTCTAAGAAGTCCCTCACATTTAGGACATAAATTCTTTTTGTCGATTCCTGATCGGTCCGCTGGAGATAAATTGTATCCAGGCATAATGAGGCTGAAGAAAGATAAAACATAATAGAACTGAGGAACAAATTTACTGGATGTAATTGCGTTTTGCTAGTTTTGTATTTTTATGATGATTAACTAATAGTGTTTTTTTATCGTTCCTTTGCTTTATTGTAAACACCCTAGGATCAGCAGCGTTTAGCACCACAGTGTCAACCGGCAGTTTACATAATTGTAAGGAGAGATTTTCCATGAATTTTTTGTTTGCCTCGAGCGTCATATATAGCTTTCAAATATTCGGCTTGACGTTGTTCTTAGTAATTCATACTGAATTTGCATAAAGAGGTTTTAACTCCGCAAAAAGGCTCGTGCCATTTTTATTATCCTTGTTTCATTTGCTTTGTGTTCGCCAGGTAATAATCACAAAAAAAGCCAACAGTGTTCCTTAACAAACAAAACGCTGTTTTGGTGACCTGGCTAGATCTTTGTCTCGGTACTTTTATTTTCTAAAATAGCAACAGTAACAAAAGATTTCAGGTTAAAATTCTAAGTGATTTCTGTTTATTTTTCTATTGTATTCTTTTGTCTTCAATGGTTGTAAAAAGCGTATACAAGTAAGTTGCTTTGAACTGATTTTTCGATTACATCGCCGACTACATTCGTGAGCTAAGTTACGCTACGCGTACAAGAATAAACGCTGTTGGAACCAAAGTTCAGTTTGCCTTTGCTGTACCGGTTAGTGGTTTGATCCCGGACCTCAGAGAAGTGACGGCTCTTTCCCGCAAGCGAGTTGCAGTTGAGTCTAGTTTCCCCCAGTTAACCGATAGTTAAAGCGCCGAGTTCCCGTTGAGTATTCAAATCGTTCGAAAGTGGAAAAACCTTCCCTCACATAATTACTTATTTGCATGGTTTGCAGATTTTACTCAAGGATAGGCTGACGTATAATTCCCGTAACTACGATATAATTATTGTCTTCTTCAGAAAATACGAATAGCCTAAATTTGTACAAATTATGATTTATGAAAGAACCTTGGATTAGGGAAACTGTGGAACATGTAAGGTATTACATATTATGTAGTACTTCATTACAGCGAAGTCGGGAACTATTGATAAACGATTTTGGTACACCACTTGGCTCCTTGTGTTATGTTTTTAATTAAAATTTTGTACTAAAAGCTATTATATTCGATTCTCCGAAGCTAAGGCAATAGTTCCGCATGATAAAAGTATGGCGCACTTGGGTAGAAATAAGACAGAGTTCAGTCTTTTCGAAGAAAAGACAATTTATAAAGAAAACAATGAGATCAAGTTTTAGATAAATTGCCTTAATTGTTACGACGGCAGTCTGGATAACAACTGACCTCTATTGTATGGCGCAACCTGTTCGTGTATTCCTGAAAACTTTGGTAGATGATCGAAAATTTTGTGATGATCTTTGCAGAAGATCTGGAGCACCTCGTCTGGCAAGAAGCAAGGATCGACGTCAGCAAAATCAGCGCCATTTATCATGGCTACGATGCACTTTTTAAGCCCTTTATTTATCTGTTGTAATTTGTGATGCAATATGTTTTTTGCTATGTGTTGCGTTAATTGAATAAATTAAATAATAATCGCATTGTGTCGTGTCTGTGGAGGCCCACGTACTCATTTTTACGGAGTATTTGAAATATGACGAGAAAAGCCAAAATTATCCATTATTATCATTTATTGATCGCAAGCAGGCTTACTTTTGGCTGTAAATATTTCAGAAAATTAGGTTGCAATAGATAAAAATAAAATGACGTCATTAAAAAAAGACGTCTCTTTACTCTATTGTTTTGAAGTGACTTTACCCCAGTAACCTAAGAAACCGAGAGAATAACAATTAATGCCCAATTGCTTTAAGTACAGTAAACAAAAGAATATATTGAATGGAATTAATTTACGGTAGTGCGTAGTAGTCTGCTGCCTAATTTTAAAGGATTAAATCACTCTAAGTACCCTCATCGATCAAGCGACAGAAAGTAACCCTAAGTGCTGTTAGTAGATCGCAGACAATAGTTAAGGCAGTTAAGACTATGGCTATGAATACTTTTAGTTAAAGTTCGTCTGTATTTCTTGGTATTTGTCATTAGTTTCACTCCTATGACTTATATTAGTCGTCAGCATCGAAATTGTAGTTTTTGTTTGTAAATTGCTGACCCGTTTCCAGAATTAATTACGTCATTTTAATGACATAAATAGTTTTCTCTTTTTTTACGCCATATATATCTTAAAAGATGTTTTTTTTATGACGTGAAAACTGAACTTTGAAATGTATGTCAACCTAATGTAGACAGCAGTGAAAATAGATGCATTACTGTATTACTATTAATAGGTATCAAGTTGTGTTTTGCATCCAATTCTAAAGTATGGACATTTTAAAGCTTTTAAAAGTCATGTCAATGATCGTCCTGGTGAGTGTCATGGTAAAGTTCTGAAAAGGATTGTTGTTCAGTGTTGTTGACAGGGATACATGTTTTGACAACCAGGTTAGTAAGGTCATTTTCAGAGTCAAATTGTGTTGTATCGTATTAGTTGATGATGCATTCTCGTCCCCAGAGCCCGTCGTTTCTTGGTCACGTGGTTAGGAGACGAGGGGCTCTGGACGCAGCCGTTACCGGATGTCAGAAAATTTCTGACATCCGGTCGCGCATGTGCAAAAGTTACAAATATCACTGCTCATGCTCATAACGGATTTTTGTCCCTCACCGCTCCACTGGGGGAAAAATTTTACTTCCCGAGCTCTCTCCAGAGAGTGGCTTCTTTGGGGTGTTTTGAAAATGCACCGCTTCACTCAACTTGGATTCACTGATAATTTGGGGTTAAAAGAAGAAGACAGTAACAGAACCCGGCTGAACACACTGTTGGTTTGCAGAACTGAGACAATTAATCGGCAGACTATCGTCTGAGTTATGTCAGTTTTTTTTTCAATACGTTTGGCGAACAAACAGTGGGAAAGCAATATCGCGAAGATCGATATAATGCGGGAAAAAGTCAATCTAGAAAGGTATCTTGTTCCATGTCCTGCAACTGCTATCTTATTGACTTAAAAACGCTTTTTGAAACGAAACCATTCATGAGTTGTGTTAGGAGAGTAAAATATAATTTTCATTTCACTCGAGCTGGTTGTGTTTTTTCCTATGTTTATTTCCTTTTGTGGTGTCGCATGTCGTTTTTAATTTTGCCCATGAGCTTTTGTGGACAACACGTGTTAGACAACCCAAGGATTTACGTCGAAACAAATCAATATTAATCATTTTACCGACCCAGGGTAGAAAACATATATTACAAGGTTTGTCCAGGAGAAGTGACAGTCTAATACACCTTCATGGGCTTCCATGCATGGCAACTTTATACAGTACTGCTGGTGAATCAAATTCCAGTTCAGTTCTCTCAGTATATAACCCTAACTGAAACTTGAACCCCAGTTTCCTAGCCCTAGTCATAAAACGTCTGGGTCATTTGGTGTTTATGGGGGCCATTCAGTGTTCTGCTAAAAGGGTTTATCCTCCCGAAAGATTTCAGGTATCATCTCCTAACTAAGTACCTCAGAGAGAGAGTTTTCAATAATTTTGCTGTCTGACTCAGAAAATCATTAATACCTAAAAAATGTTGATTGTGTAGTGACCAATCGCCATAAAGTTCCGTGCACATGACCAAACCTCAAAACCAAAAAGTAATTACCATTGCTGTTTGAGGTTTTGTTTTCTCACCCCTTGTTAGCTTTTTCTTCAACAATGCAATAGCATTCCTTAATATTCGTGGCGTTCATGGTTTTGTAACTTTCACAGTATAGGTGAGCTGACTTGTCACCTCTGTTGTAGGGGTATAAACAGTTATATGTACTTTTGATTACCGGTTACTGATAAAAAGTGTTTCCTAGGACCCTGATTTAGTAGGAAGTCATGGTAATTATGCAAATGCATCCAGAGAGAAACCTGTTTAACTACTACTTATGAGCTCATGGGTAACACATCTTTGTAAGGGGTTTTAAGGGTTTTTTTTCTTAGGGGAGGGCTTACAACAAGGGGACATTTTTTCTTGTTCACTGGTAAATGGGCCTATAACTGGGGGGCTTATAAGTTGGGGGGAGGCTTAAAAGCAGTAGTTTAAGGTAGCCTGTGCCAGACATTCAGGTATTGGGGAAGGTGCAAAAAGAACAAAACTGAAAAAAACCTGTTTTTTTAATGCTCTACTTCTCACTATCTGAATGCCTAGAACAGGTTACCATAAGCTATATAGCTGTACTTTCTCATCTGGAACAGTGAAATGTACGTAGAGTGATATATGCATTGTATATAGACTGTATGCGTTAGGTGATCCCCCGTTATTAAAGAAGTACACTTTGAGTAACACACAACCCAAAAGCATTTTCTTGGGTGGCTGCTCTCATCACGTTTTGGACTGGAGTGCAAGACCTGCAAGGTTTGAAATTGGGGATAGAACTTTGGATTAGGCCTGAAATAGGATAGTCAAAATCATGTAGTTTGGTCAAAATTTGGCAAGGCAAGAAACATACTGCGGGGTGAATCTGAACTGATTTTTGGGGGGTAGAGCCCCACTCCCCAATCCCTACCCTCCTCAGTTGTATTGAAACTGAATGTGGTGCTTTATAGAGTTAAAGTATAATATCTGCTCTCAGGTTTTGATAATGTATAATTTTTTAGTTCCCTTAAAATTCATTATTTTGTGTTATAACACGAGGCCTCCAACAAGGAAAAAGTTTTACCAGAACTGAATCATTGACCAGTGGAAGCAAGTTTTAATTTGGCTCATCGTTATTTGTCAATAACCAAGTAAACTAAGATGCTCTATGCTTAAGTAAGCCAATGCTGTGTGCAAGCTCAAGGAGGGATCAAGAGCAGGTGTAGTTAGGATTGGCGAGTAAACTGTGATATTACTGTTGATCAAGCTATAATGTTACCCACCCTATCAAAGGTGACATATTGCAAAATCCAGTTGTCATCATCAACAATTACTTACGCCAGTATGATACAAAATAGACTACTCTAGGCTGTTGTTCATTTATCATTTTATTTATTAACACCTCAGTTGTCCCTAACATCATCAAAAAAACTAGACCAGTTTTCACATAATGTATGCCTAATTATAAACAGTTAAGTTTTCTTGTATTTTAGAATTCTTAAACCAAAAAGGTTGAGAACATTGTGCTACCTTATGTAGTGATCAGATAACATAATTATTTATTAAGAAAAATTGTGCAAAAGCTGCTTCTTTGTTAACTGTTCACCAGTTATAAATAACCCCAGAGCCCCTTGTTTATCTTTGTCTAAATGCCACACGACTGGAGGCCAAGCAAGGACTGTTAGGATGAGAATATATTCTTGCAAAACATTTGTAACAAGTCGGCCACAAAGCCTTTCCTTTCACAGCCCAATTCTTACTGTTAAATTAAATTTAATTTAAAAATTAAAAGAAGGCCTCCGAATTATCTAAGCATGATTTAAGTGAAAGACAACGTAGATTGGAAAGAGTACTTGCTCTATCATCTTTAAACAATTAAAAATTTGCCTTTTGCATGCAGCCCAAAATGATTCATAAGCAATTCAGTTCTGGCTTTCTGCACTGCCATCAGTGGTCTAATAAAATAAAGGCATATAACAAAATATTATCTTGACGTTAGTATAGCAAAGGAGATGTTCTTTCAGCAGAAAATACAATAAATTAAAAGCACGCTGCAATGTCATTTCTGTAATGTAGTCGAAGCTTGATGTCCTTTCCTACTGTAGCACCGACGAATATCCAGAGAAATTAGAAAAACTGATTAGACTAATTAATAACGCCATACAAGTACAGTATCAATCGCTTGATTTTTTAACGACAAGGGGGCAACAGCAAGAGCTAACTAACCATTACTCCTCCTTTCAGTTTCCCACAAGGAAGGCAATGCAATACTTTCTTTGTCAAGGCTCGTTGTCTTCGTAGAAACTTCTCAAACTTTACCTGCAATTCTCTTCTTCACTGCTATTGCATATAAACAAACCAGGATTGTCGCTATCAACGAAACTCAGACACGCATTTCATGTTTGCAGGCACGAAGTAAAATGTTATGCGCAGTAGATTATATTTTTAATTTGCTTTGCGCATTCAATTGCCTTCAGCCAATGAAAAAATTCGTATTTTCCGTTGCGTCCAGAGCCACTGGTCGGTTACAAATTAAGCNATCAACGAAACTCAGACACGCATTTCATGTTTGCAGGCACGAAGTAAAATGTTATGCGCAGTAGATTATATTTTTAATTTGCTTTGCGCATTCAATTGCCTTCAGCCAATGAAAAAATTCGTATTTTCCGTTGCGTCCAGAGCCACTGGTCGGTTACAAATTAAGCCGAGTGGCTCTGGGGACGAGAATGTTGATGATGGTATTAAACTCTGGTGATTGACCTGATTGGCTAATTAAGTTGCCATGTTATTGGTCGTTTCTCAGTTACGCCTTTTAATTGGCTATGAAGACTCTAAATGTGATTGTTAGTCAAAATTTGTCGTTTCGTCGTTCCGTTTTGTTAGGTCACTTAATTGCAGGAGTGTTGCTGGTGTTCGTCAACGTCGGTTGTGAGGTGTACGCACCGTTAACTGCTGACTTCGATTCAGCTGAGTTTGTTCTACGTCAAATATAAAGGGAAAGAAATATTAGCCTCACGTTTAAAAGTATGAACTAGCTTTTTCTATCCATTTGCGATGTGTTTGTTGGATTTTTGATCTCGAATCAATGAATTAATGCTTATTTTTGGACGATGAAAGTGATGCACTTCGACTTGATGAAAACAACATGGCGGCCCTAAACAATGAACGCGTGGTTCAAATCGATTTTATATTCCTTTCTGCCGTACTAACAAAAGAAAGTATTCTGTTCCAATCCAGTGTTAAATTTTTTTTCTATCTTGTTACTGAATTCATAACTTAACTCATCAGTCTCTGTTTAGTTCATATTTTTAACACATCACTCCGCGAATTTCATTTTATTTTGCTTATTTCTTTGAGACCGGGGAGCCCAGGCTTCATAAGCCCTCTGGTTTCTTCTGGGCTCCCTTCCAACCTTACAATTCATATATGTATTCATTTCTTGTATTGTATTATATTTAGGCTAAATTGAAATGAACTTAACTGAACTGCCTTGCTAAAACTTGAAATCTCGGCAACGCGAAAGTACAAACGCGTAACTGCAAACTGCGGTTTGCGGTTTGGGGTTAACCTGATGCTGAAGGTCTCTAAATTGATACGTCTCTCCTGTTTTCTTTTTTAGAAAGATTGTAATAAAACAGTTGTGGTATTTTACCAGTGACAACATAAATCTAATTGCACTAACGTTGTCAAAAAGTCTAGCAAAAGAAAAAAGTAAAATAGGTCTGGAACAAATTAGACATGTACAATTGAGAAAAGGTAACCTGGCCTCTGCCCTAATCTTATCATATCTTCAATTTCCTTTCATACATTTTCCAATGATGATGCGCTAGGAAGGAAATAGGATGAAACCGATAAATCTAATAACTTTTGCGATTCAAGAAATCATATCAAGTTAATACAATGGAAAGTGTCTTTCAGTTTGTTTTACTTTGTTAAAATAGTTACTACATGTCTTACTTTTACTCTTAAATTTTTAATAAGTGATATTTTCTTCATGCCAGGTGCCATCATGCTCAGTTGCCGGGGCACGTTTGCGGTCGGAATTGATGCAGATGTCACATAACTAAAAGCTGTTCTACTCGAACATCTACTATGTACAACATCTGCTGGGGTACTTATATGATGATGTCATGGTCACAATATTTCCATAACACATTGAATTATCAACACAGAAGTGTTTCTGTAGGAAATTCACAACGGTGAAATTTGATTTTCCATTTTTGTAGATAAACTATTAATAATCATTTAAACTTTTAAAAAGTTCTTCAATCCGTTAGTCATGTTTACATTGGAGAGCAACCGAGACCCGGCCTCGCATGACTTGTTTTAATAAAAAAAAATCACAATTACAATTAGTTTATTCTTACCATCGATCCAGTATTCCCTTCTCTGTTAAGAAAAGCTTTTTGTTATATCAAGAATCCATTCAAACGTGACATTTCGTGACGTTTTTCTCATCCCTTCATGGGCTATTGACACGGAGCCCATTCGGGCTCGAGGAATAATTGTTAAATAAATAATATCATGGTCTTGGTTTCCATTGCATGCCTCTGGCATCCCATTTTCACTGTGTTTTTCAGTTCATCGAGTCTCTTCATTTATTACTAGGACAAGTCCAGTTTCAATATCAAATAATTTAAACTTTTTCCCTCTCTTTTTCATCGGTAGCAATTCCATAAAGACATGATTTGAACTAACAGGGGGAAACCGGAACACCCGGAGTAAAACCCCTCTAATAATTATGTCTTCTATATATAGTCTGACAGATTAAATACATAAATTTTTTTCTCGGTGAACATACACGACTCGATTACCATAGCTCACTGTAAGCATGACTTTCAAGTTGCTTGTCCACTCATGATGTAAGTCTTCAAATTGTAACAAAAAATTCTCGAAATCTTTTTAAATCCAAAGTTGCCTATACCGTCTCATAGTTCATTATTAATTCGGTTATTACTGAACATGTCATTGTCAACTTCAGCATGTTTCTTCTATTTCTTAATTTTTTCCTGTTTCCTTTTTTTTTTAGCAGTTTTTTTTTCCTAAAAAAAATACGTAATAAATTTTTAAAAACACTGATGATGGGATGACACCCATCTAAAAACTATCTGTGTTTGAACATAATCAGGTGAGACTACCCCCCTATAAAAGAGACAAAGTATATTATATCCGTACACAATGTCCTAAATAGAAGGATGCAAGCCAGATCGAGATTGATACGTTGCCTACGTCACCCGTCCTTCCTCTCCCCAGTCTCCCGCTCGCTCCGCTGTCTCAAGAGTCTGAAAACATGACAATTTTTCTAAAACCGGTGTTAGCAAGAGAGAATGAGCTGCAATTGTAGCTCATACTCTCTCTCTCTTGGTGTTATAAATCCGTCGTATCGACTATGACCTTCAGAAACATAGTATCGTCTCGGACGTAGGCATGATTGTTTAATTCCGACAAGGGACAGAATGTAGGGCACCCACTAGCGATGTTTGTTTCTCTTCTTGGTCTCTGAAAGGATGAGCTGTTTGGATCAGGTCTGAAGGAGTCGATCACGTGTTCTACGTTATTCTGATCCAGCAGCATGAACGTAACCTTCTGTCTGAATGGCCAGCGGAGTAACGCATCGTACTCACCACGCATGACAACAAAGAATACCGAGATGTGTGTCCCTCTTCCAATACCATCACCATTCAAGTAGATGCGCGCGCACATCTTGTATCCATAGCGACTGGTAAAGAAGCACGGACTATAAAATGACGTCTGTTGCCCGGAGACGGCGTCTTGCCGTTTTTTAGCGAACTCAGTGATTTTCCAAAGCAAGATTCCATCGTGACTGGAGACTTCCTGCTGCCTCACATATTCGTCCAAATCTGTCAGCATAACATTACGAAGTGCAAGAGAATGACTCATGGACTCGAACTGTCTCTGTAGTCGATCGGTTGTTCCATTCGAAGACTCCTGTTGCCTGGCTACGGTAGACACTTTTCTCTGTAGTTCTTCATTTAATCTGTTTCCTTCAACGAGCAAAAGTTCGAGATTGGCCGTCTTTCCTTCTTCTGTAGTTATTCTTTGTAAAAGTTCTTTGGCGAGCGTTGAATCAAATGCTGTTGCTGAGTTTGAGCTATTCTGTCTAGAACTTTCCAGTTGCCGTATTCTCTCTTCTTGTTGAACCAGTTTTGATTTTAGTTCTTCATTTTCTTTCAGTGTATTCTCAACCTGTTTAGCATAGCGTTCCAAATCTTTCTGTTTTGGTAGATTTACGCCATTCATTGACACGTGTCCAGATTCCCGCATGGTCTTCCCAACCATCGAGAAGAGCTGCATTACGGTCTGAAATAGGAGCATCAGGTGACCGGAAGCATTTTCCACTTCATGCATTCTTCGTTCCTGAAGCTTCATAGTCTAAACAAAACGAAAACGACATAGTGTATTAATGTTTGGAAACTTTAATAAACACGCAGCCCTTCTAAAAATGTCCGAGTGATTGCTGACTTGGAGCATACCGTCAAACTTCAAGCGGATTCAAAAGTGGTTCTTAGCTAGCTTTGATCACGACTCGGTATTGGGCATTCCAGAGACTTCTTTACTTCTCTTACCTGCACAATCTAAGGACCTTTCAGTAGGAGTTTACCGTAGTAGACCAAAAAGCATGTCAGATCTCCCACTGACGTATACCCGCACCTTGCCCACCACCACCACACACACCCACAAACAAGTAAGTCTGATATCCCTCTGGCAAGGCAAAGTAGTGGGAACTCCTTAAGTGTGGTGACCATTCACGCAAAAAGCTATCAGGGCCTTTTTTTTTTTTCAACGTTGGTCCATTTAATGCGCGATAACCTCCTAACTGAAGTAAGGTCAAGTATTTGCATACCTTAGTCTCAGGGCATCCAATTTGCGTCCATGGACAACTTGATTGCAATTCCTCACAGTCTCCATTTACCAGATCAATATGGGCACGCATCTGAGTAAGAAAGATAGAAGCCAACATCAAGTCTCAAACGCATTATTCCAGTGTTACTGTCTAGGAGCTACCTGTTAAGAACCCGTTTACACATTTACGTGTGCGTTGCAGATCAAATTTGAATCTGCAATTATTATTTAGCGGAGTGTGTAAAAACAGAACACTAGGAAGAAGAAAACCTCTCGGAGCATAACTCACCTGAGAGCGAGGTATGTCCTTTCTCCCACATTCTGTGCAAGTCACAGGGACGGAGGGACACTGCGATTCTTGGTGTTCCTGTGCACAATGAATTATGTATTAGTCATTACGCTAGAGATCGCTCTGAACATACTCTCCAGGCTACTATGGTTTTAATTGGAGAGCCATTAATTTAGGTTAAAAGATCTTATATTTATGAGACCTTTTACTAGCACCGATTTCTGACGATTTGAGACCGAAGGAACTTAGAGGCATGAAGAAATTCCCAAAGAGTCAATGAGCGTCAGAAATTTATTGTTGTAAAGGAAGATGTAAAAGTACGTTAAGTATTAAATTACTTAAGGATCCTGTTGCAAATGACGACAACTTAAGGGTAAACAACCGATTTCAGTAAGAGTTATTCTTACCTCCAAAAATGCAAACTCAATAAGAGTTTGGCAGTGGTCACATTTTTCCATTCTGAATTGACACGACTTCTCAAGATGCTCCACCAGACTTGATCTAGTCACCAGTTCACCGCATCCTGAATGCACGCATGGAACTTGAACGTACTCACACACAGCCTCGTGATCCTAACACGCAAGAACACGTAACTGACAATTATGACAATAATGGAAGAGATAATAATAACGATAATTTAAAACAATACGCAAAGAATTGTATTGTAGAATCGGCAACTTTCCAGCTACGATCATTGTAAAACCAAAAATATATATAAGCTAAAACTGAGAGAAAATGTTTTGTTGTCAATACTGAGAAAAGAAAGATGCGCGCGATTAACGTTTTTTTTTTTTTGTATTGGCCAAGACTTCATTAGCGTGTTGAAAAAGGACTATACTAGATGTACTTAAGCCAAATTGAAAATCGCTTTATTCCGATAATATTCTGACACACGTTGATAAGATTTCTGCTCCAAAACAAGGATTAAATAATTCGCCCTATACTTCTTCGAGTAAATTGAAGATTGCTTTACTCCAATAATGTTCTTAAGTTTACGCGCGGATAAAACACGTAGGTAAATCTTGCGCCCTATACTACTTCGACCTATTTGAAAACCATTTTATCTCGTCTATTATATCTACATCTCTACGTATTTCATAGATAATCCAGCTGATACAAGCAGCTCATAGAGGGTCTCTATCTGAACAGTAAAGCCTATGGTTGAGATGGGTGGTCTGTTTAGCACGATAATAGAATCAATAGCCCCAAGACAAGACAAAAAATCTCTTAAAGCGATCTTGGCACTTTCATGACAAGAGACAATGGTGTACGGTAAAAATGTTTCAATATATTTTTGCCTGACGCGTGACCGCTTTTTTGTGTTTCACGGCTACAGATTAATCCGACTGGCACCGCCCTTGTCAGTAGGGCTGGAAGTGGGTATACATCATGACTCTTTTGAATATCATATAGAAGCTTAGTTGTTACCTCTCGTTTTCTAAGCTCGTCTTTCCAATCACATCCTTCTTCTTGATGAATGCAATGGACCAACAGTGACTGTATCTCACGCTCGACAAAGCGGTCCAAAAATACCTGCAGAGTGATATGAAACAAAGTATTGCTACAGGAAAACAGTTCTTACTTGATCCATGCAGAGTAAACAAAAAGGATGACAAATAACGTCGAAGGTGGCGGATAAGACAACATAGTGTGTCCTCTTTAGGTCATTTATTACAGCTACAGGAATTACAATCATGTTTACGACAAGCCTCAAACCTCAGAATTTCTCAAATTTATAGAAAATGAGAAGATAAAAATTGTCCAAAATACTTTTTGTGGATGAAAATGACATGAAACTACTTTTTATGGGTAGATACGGTGAACAGTAAATGACAAAATCTAGGTCACGTGGTTCAGCGTAAAATGGCACCACCGACGTCCGTTATCGGTCCGTTTTATGTATGATAAATGCGGCTAGTGATGTGATGGAAGAGGTAGAGGTGGACCACACCAACGAAGAGACTTCTCCTACACGTTTCGAACGAGAGCATGGTTTTGCGTCCCCTTCGTATTAAGTTGAAGGTAGAACGCCGCCCAATTACCTAATTACTGATTTAAAGACCGTGGTTGTTGGTCTGGCCGGGGTTTGAGCCCCAGACCTGCCGCTCAGAATTCAAGCGCTCTTCCAACTAAGCTAAAGAAAAGTTAAAGGATCGAAATGGGGTGGGGCAGGGTGAATGAGGATGCAGCATCATAACTGGGTGGCGCGCGGTTAAAGGTACTGAGACTCAAACGGAGCTCAGTGTCATGTTTCGGGCCGGCCTAGTATGTATTCAGAAGATTTCACTAACGACAAATCTGATTATCCAAAAGAAGGCAAACCTGTTCTCTATGAATATCTGATCCATCGATGATGCACTTTCCAACTTCTTGCCTGTAAATTTATTAGGGAAAGAGGTCAGTGTGTATCAACCAGTGGTACGAAGAAAACCTAATTATCGGGTATTTATCTGATTTTTGTTTGCCAGTTAACTGTAGGAAATTTATTTTCACCTGTCCCCAGTTGATCAAACGTTGGATAGCGCTATCCACCGGATAGATCACTGTCCACTGGATACGTATCAGGGAAACTTATAACTAATTGCTCTCTCCACTGGAGAGAGATTGATCCAGCATTAGTATAATGACATTGATGATTATCGAAAATAGAGCGCTATGATTGGCTAGGAGCAGGGCGGGGACTCTTCTTAGAAATGTCGCTTGTTTTCGACCATGAATTATGGCGGCTGGATTTGTTTTCTTGTACTTCTTCATTGTTCCTTTGTGCTGGTACGCTGTCTCCGAGAGGCAAGTGTTGCTATTTTTTGCGGGAGGTTTAGAAATAATAGCGGGGCTCCGCGAAGCGCGCGTGGGACAGAGCCCCCATACCCATAGATTATGGTCAACCTCTTTTCCTTTGGTTGTCACGTGATTGTACGTACGCGTCTACGGATTGTACGGGTGGGGTAGGGGAGACTATCAAAAGGAAGGGAGGGGTGTCTCAGGCGTGTCTTGCCAAGTCCACATCTTTTACATTGGACATTCACAATATGGTCAATTGACAGCTGTCAAAACAGCATAGCCACTGACCAGTATTCCATGACCATATCGCGGGCTCATGTGTCAACTCATTGAGGTGACGAGATTTATTTGGAAGCTGTCCGCTGACCAGTTAATTATTTTACTAGATCGCGATCAATGTTCAGTCTCATACTTTCTAGCTAGTTTGGGATCGGAGCACAGGAAAACTGATACACGTCAATGTTGTGATCCATTGACAGCTGTCAAAACAAGGTATCCGCTGACCAGTATCACCTAACTGTATCGCGGGCTCAGGTGTCGACCCATCGGGGTCAAGTGTTTTTTGAAGTTATCTGCTGACAAGGTACTGGTTTTCAAATGATCGCAGGCTCAGGTTTAATTTTTTTTAAAATTCATATAAAATATGTTGCGTTTATGTGCCGCACAATTAAAATTTTGATATCAAACTGACTTCGGACGCGAAAATTCAGCCAGCTGCTACAGGCAGGGAAGACAGTTGCTTTTGACTTTTCTCGCCATGTTCACGCGTTGGTCACGCTGTACGTCCAATTTTTATGCTCTGATTGGTCAAAATTTGACAGGTGAGTTCATGCGGAAAATTTATGCAGCATCTTGAATCTTGTTTACTTTGACAGCTGAAGCTGACAGAGTCTGGTGTCAACTTGTGATGTTTTCAACTTTCTTTTTCCACTGGATGTACAAAATGAAATTCAGCTGCTATCAGGAGTCTTCTGTTATTCATGGCTAGTTTGTTTATTGGGTTTTTGGTTTAGTCAAAATCGGAAATCCGATTTCGGATGGCATCGTTTTCGTTTTCATCTTGCTTAATGCGTAAGAGGGTTGCAAAGTCTGAAGCGATACTGGCCTTACTTGATACCTTTCAGGAGCTGCATCTCGAGTGGTAAGCCTAAGTAATTATTGTATTTGATGTTTGTTTTTTATTCCTAATTTAATGAAGTCGAGCGTAGTTTATGCGGCTATTTTGTTTACGCATGTTTGTAAGCTTTGAGACAATGATCTGACCGAGTATCAGGTTTGTTATAAGCTTACAGATCTTTAAAAAGCCTTAAGACATTTTCTCACCGTAAATAGAAAGAAAACGTTTCAAAGAATATTTAGTTATAATTCTGGCTGTAAAAGAAAGGTTTGAGCGATTTTCTTGCCTCGAGTTCGTCTTTGAAAAAAGCAAACACCGGGAAGCCGGCTTAAAACATAAACTTCAGCTTTAAGCTCGAAGACTCAGGATTTTTAGAGACACTTTAATACTTGTCTTCCTGAATGAAAATTGTCGTCTCTGTATATGTTTCAACGAATTATATTTCTTTTAGTGATTGCTAGTACTCTCTCTTGTAATTTTAATCGTTGTGCCGATTGTTTTCAGTCGTTCAGTAAACAACGCTTCCCGGAGGGGCAGCACTAAAACACGGAATCCGGAAACGGAAACGGAATACGGAATCAAATATCAATGATAGAAAATTAAAGAATTTCACATTCACAATTTAGTACAATCCAAAGAGAATTTGTCTTAGTGTTCTTGGCAGTTCCCTTAAATATATTCTTGTTCTTGTGTCTTGATAAGGTTTGGCGTAGTGTGGGTTACTGCACTGCAAGGCCGATGAAAGTAATTTTACGAGTAATTCTTATTCACGAGTTCATGGGTTGAATGATACAGTTAAATATTACTTTTGTAGCTAATTGTTAAGAATAGTAGTAGTTAGCCTCAGACCACACCTCGTGATTGTCCCCAAGCTGAATACTCCACACATGACCGACCGGTGACGTGACCACAGTTCCGGTGTTTTAGCAATAAGTTCAACTTTTTCGCCAAGCTGAATATTGATGGAATACTGGTGTACCGGTAATTGAGTTCACGTGGACGTCCGTATTTTTGTTGAAGAGGCTTATTAAACATGTCGCACTATTTTGATGTAATCGGTTGCGGAATCAAGCAAATGCATGCACAATTCTCTCTTCTCTTTGGACTCCACAATGCCATGGCCATGGTTCTCTTGGAAAAGTTGTCTTGATAAATAAAACTGAACACTGTTGAAGACAACCCAGAAAGGCCACTAAGAAAAACTTGACGGCGACGCCTTTCAGTTATATAAACGACGTCTCTGACGATTCAAACAAAGTCTGTCTCCATATAACTTACCTTTTTCTTAAGGCACTAGTTTTTGTCAGTAACGTTTTTCTCCTCGCTTTGTTGTCCCATGAGAATTTGCATTCGTTGCCGATAGTGGTATCAAGCGTCTTTTCACCGGAATCGACTCCTCTAGTGATACAGCAGTCTCCTCTCCTCTACTCAGCTAATATATTCATTTGTGTCGTTTTCTTTTTTTTTTTATCTGTTTATTTATTTTATTGTCATTGCTAATATATTTTTTTTCAATTCGATCGCTTGGAACTTTCTTTCACAGATTCCGTATTCCGTTTCCGTTTCCGTGATCCGTTTCCGTTTCCGGATTCCGGATTCCGTGTTTTAGTGCTGCCGTTCCCGGAGTACTCAAAATGACGCGCGTTAAACCGTTTTAAAATAAAAAATAAACATAATAAATTCTTTATTATGTTGGAGCGTAACTCTGTTAATGTTCATTCAAACACTCGCCACTGCTGGCACTGTAAAAGTTAGAACCGGCTGGCCGTATAGATGATTCTGAAAATTTTTTCAGCGGTTTACGGCTAAAACCCACGCGTGCTTCGATCGTCCTGAATAGCAATTTGTATCGCAATATTGTGAAATACTGCATTCTGTTGTCCGAGGTCTGTATGATAAAAACAGTGCCTCATAGTACTGTTTCACCTCAGATGTGATGTATAAATGATATAAAAGGTTGGTTTACACGCACGCAGATTTGTCGGCAAGATTTTGTAAAATAAACTTTTCGAACGCAAAAAATTCGGCCGGAATTTTTTTCCGGGCCTAATTAATCTACGGTGATCAAGAGTCATTATGGCTCTTAATGAATGTGATTGTTTCGGTGAGAGCTCTAACAGTAACAAGACCGTAACTCAACTCAACGCCATGACAGAACGTAGCTCTCTCGAGCCCCTTCCCATGATGCCTAGCAATAGGGTTACCACCCTCTTACACCTTCCCCCCAGTAAAATTTACAATTTTACGTTTAACTAGAGTATCTTTGTGGCATTTTCACTAAGCGTCCCGAACGTGTACGTTTAACAGAAATAAGGTCCATCTTACTGCATTTAGCAGGTTCTGCAGCCTTTGCCGTGTCTTTTAGTGGCTTGATTTTTTTTTCCCATTCTTTTCAACAACAGCGGCAGGTAGGTCTCCGTCTGTCGGTTTCTGTTCTCCAGATTTCGAGGAGGGTTCCGTAACTTTGACTTGCTGATCTTCCTTAAGATGTACACGGTTTCTTCTGAGCAGTTTACCATCCACATTAACATCGTATGAACGGTATCCACAGTTCTGTGAGACAGTTCCTTTCTTCCACTCTTGTCCTTTCAACAGACCTTCAGGCTTGACTCTAACGGTATCTCCAGGCTTTAATTCATTTAGGTCTTTAGCAGTGCGGTGATAATATGCTTGAGATTTCTGGTGTTTCTTAGTTTTCTCTGCTAACACTGTTTCGATTCTGCAATCTCAGGTGTCAGTAGTGTCGCTTTCATAGGTACTTCAGTTCTTGTTCGACGGTTTAGGAATCTTTGTGCGGGAGATGTTGTCATGCCAGCAGTAGGCGTGTTGTGCTGGTCAAGCAATGCTTCGTACGGACTCAATTTTGTTTTCTCAGCTTTCCTCGCAAAGTTTTGACAGTCTTCACAGCAGATTCAGCTTTTCCGTTACCTTGGTGGTGATATGGTGAAGATTTGGTACGTTTAATCTTCTTTCGTTGGCAGAATTGCGAGAACTCAACTGAGTCGTATTTCTTACCACAGTCTGTGACGATCTCATCAGGAATTCCCCATCTCGCAAATTGTTTTTGCATTAGATTAATGGTTTCACATGCAGTTTGGTTTTTCATCAAGTCAAATTCAATCCAGTCACTGTAATAGTCAACTAGAACAAGATAGTGTTCTTTGTTCTATTCAAAAATATCAGATCCAACTTTTGACCAGGGTCTGTTAGGAATTTCATGACTGATTAGCGTTTCTTTTTGGTTCTTAGTCTGGAAAGCATTGCAGACTTCACATGTAGCAATGAACTGTTTCAACTGATTGTTCATTCCCGGCCACCATAATGAAGTTCTAGCACGCCTAAGGGTTAACCCGGTGCCCATATGTGCTTGGTGTAATTTAATAATCAGAGTCTTTCGGAATGTTGCTGGGACTACGATGCGATCACTCCTGTAAACGATTCCATCGTTAAAGGACAGTTCATCCTTAATGTTCCAATACGGTAAGATTTCAACAGGAACGTTTCGTTTGCTTGGTTTCAAGCCCATTGATATGTGGTCGATGACAGACTGTAAGACAGCGTCCTTTGCAGTGGCTTCTGCTATTTCAGCGAAGTTGCTTGTTAAGCTTTGTTCTTCATGAGCAAGTCTTGTCGTTTCAATCTCTTGTTCGATCTTGCTTCGGTGCTGGTTGGTCGGTTGAGATCTGCTCAGGGCATTAGCAATAAAGAGGTCTTTGCCTTTTACATACTTGAATTCGACATCATATCCTATGATTCTACATAGCATTTGCTGAAGTCTAACAGGGTTATCTTCAACAGGTTTCTTCAATACGGCATCAAGGGGTTTGGGGTCGTTATAGACTGTCACTTTCCTACCATAAGTGTAGGTATGAAATCTAGTGAGCCCAAATACAATACTAAGCATCTCTTTCTCGAGTTGGCTGTAGCGTTTTCCAGTGTCTGTTAATGCTCTCGAAGCATACTGTATAGGTTGGCCGCCTTGCATGAGGCAGGCTCCTAAACCACTTGATGATGCGTCCACTTGGACTTCAACTTGTTCAGCCACATTGAAGTATCTTAGCAGTGTTGCGTTCAGAATGAGGGTTTTAATTTCATCAAAAGCTTTCTGTTCATTTTCTTCCCAGATAAACGCAGTGTTATTCTTCAGCAGAGCTCGTATTGGTTCTGACTTGGTTGACAAGTCTTCTGAAAATCTTGAGAGGTAGGTAACTACACCAAGTAGTCTTCTGACTTCATCTTTGTTTGTTGGGGCAGGCCTTGACTGAATACATTCTTGTTTCTTGGGGTCAGGTTTAACTCCTTTGTCTGTAAGGACCACACCCATGTAGAACAACTCAGTCTTCCTCAGCCGGAACTTCTCCTTACTAAGTTTAATATTCTTCTGATGGCATCGCTCCAACAAGGCAAGCAATCTCTTGTCATAGCTAGCTGTTGCTTCAATGTTTTCTCCATCGCCCCAGATCAATATGTCATCAGCTATAGCTTTTACACGTTCTAATCCTTCTAGATTCTCATCAATTCTTCTTTGAAATTCTTCAGGTGCTACACTGATGCCAAAAGGCATTCTTTTCCATTTCATCCGTCCAAGAGGGGTATTAAAGGTTGTCAGCAAGGAGCTTTCTGCATCTAATGGTACATGCCAAAAAGCAGTCTTGATATCAGCTAGAGAGAATACTTTAGCATTGCTAATGTCTGTAAGCAGATGATCGACAGTTGGGATTAAGTACTCAGATCGTTTGAGTGCCGTGTTCAGTGGTCTGCTATCTATGCAGAGTCTAATCCCATTCTTAGCAGAAGGTTTCTTTACAATTGTTGGAGCACTTACCCATTCGATAGGCTCAGTCACTTTCTCAATTATACCTTGATGTTGGAGATCTTTTACTTCAGCAATAAAGTTGTTCTTCACAGAGGGATCTCTCTAGGAGCTGTTTTGTGAGGAGTGACATCATTACTTGTGTGAAGATGTAGTTCGCCCTCAAACTTTCCTATACTGTCATCAAAGACTTGAGGGTAGTTAGTCAGAATGGTCTCCAAAGTGAGTGGTGTTGTCATTTCACTGGCAGTTACAGGGACACTTGGGTTAGTTGGGGCTACGACAGAAATATTCTCTCGTAAGAGCTCAATGAGTCTGAGTGTTTCAGAGTCATTTAGACCGATCAGAGGTGTTAGGTCTCTGTCAACAATTCTAAACTGAATGATCCCATCTTCACTGGTTGCAGGATTTAGCACAAAGACTTTTCTGGTTCCCAGGGTCTGAATTTTGGTTTCTTCATCATAGAGAGACAGAACAGGCTTGACTACAGTGTTAAGTTCAGTGAAATCATAATCTCCACTGATGTCTTTGTACACATTCACAGGGAGAATGCTACATGTTGAACCAGAGTCTATCTGAAAGCTAACAGGAATTCTTTTCTTCGACAGAAGTAGGTTTGCAAAAGCTTTCTTATGATCACAGTTTTGATTAAGTACACAGATTTTGTCAAGAACTTCATATTAGTGATCCTCACCATCTTCCTCTACTCTCAGTACAAACGGTTTTGAGGTTGGTTTTGATTGTTTTGGATCTGAGTGTTTCTCCTGTTTTCCTTTTTGTGAGCGTTTACACTCCTTTGAGTCTTGAAAGTGATTTTTGACCTTACATTTTCTGCAGACTGCTCCCCAGGCGGGGCAGAGTTTCTTGTCTGAAAAGCTATGAGCTCCCTTCTTGTTTGCACAGTAATTACACATGAGGACTTTCTTGGGCTTATCTTTAGAGACAGCTTTTATACTCTTTTTTGCAGGAGTTCGGTTTGCACTACACTCTTGGACTTCAATCTTTGTACTTTCATAAGCCTTGCCAATTGTAATAGCTTCAACTCTTGTGAGAGTGTTTCCTTTTTCTAGCAATCTTTTCTTTAGTTCTCCATCAGAGACACCATAAACAAATTGATCTCTCACATGTCTATCTTCGTCTACATAATTACAGTCTTTCACTAACAGCAGCAGATCAGTGACAAAAGCAGTTATTGTCTCTCCAGGTTTTTGCACTCGTTCTTTGAATTTCTTAGAAGCAACAACTTCGTTACATTCTGGACTTACCGCTCGTTCCAACTTAGTCCACATCAGATCATAGTCGTTTACATCCTCACCTTCAAACCAGTCCAGGCTGTCGTATATCTTTTGACCTTCAGGGCCAAGCCAATCTTGAACCAAAATACATTTTCTTTCATTCGAATATTCACAAGACTTCCTTTGAAGATGTAACCACATTTCTTTTTGAAGGCTTTCAATGCTTCTAGCCGATTCTCCCTACGGGAATCGAACTTGGGTCGCTCGAAGTTCATGATATTACCAGTAAAGAAACCTTGATTTCGATCTTGAGCTGGGGCCGCAGCTTCGGCTCCTTCTTCCGACACGTTTAACTCGTGGTTTTGCAGGGTTTTGGCGCGAAGATCTCAGGCAGTATGTTTGAGCGATCGACGAGATTCCACACTCACAGACAAACAAGATCACAGAAAGTCAGATCGATAGCAGATCGATAGCAGCAGAATAATCAGCGTTTGTTCACACTCCTGGTACCATGTTTCGGTGAGAGCTCTAACAGTAACAAGACAGTAACTCAACGCCATGACAGAACGTAGCTCTCTCGAGCCTCTTCCCATGATGCCTAGCAATAGGGTTACCACCCTCTAACAGTGATCGAAGATGATTGCCAGTTTTTGAGTGTACTTATGAGGCTATCAACTCGATGTGAGATTTGGTTCACTCTTGGGCTGTTTGCAAATTATTTTTTGTAAAATCACTTAGCCTTTCCCTGAAAAGTCACACGAATGTGCTCTAAAGTTAACTGAATTGTGGAATACAAGTATATTGTTTGATTTAAATTATAAATCTATTAATGGGAGCCTCGCTTTTAGCCCTGGCTAAATCTATATATTATTTTCGTTCTACTACTCGCCAATGTCGATGTTATTCCAAAACAAAAACAACTAAGTACTGTCTAAAACACGAAGGAAAATCTCATCCATGTCATCCATGGCAAAACAAAAAGACAGCAGATCGTGTTTCATAACTAGATGACGTGTATTTTATAAATGCGTGCAGCTAGTGCAAGGTGAAATTATGCTAATTTCAGTCACCATCATCCTTCTTTTTAATTTTGAAAAAAACATCTCATACGTCTTTCTTTTTCTTCGAAACTTCAAAATTAGTTTCCCCTCAGTTTTTACTGTTTACCTTGTTTTGTTTTAGAGAGAAAAACGGAGAAAAAACCTTACAACTAACCTCAATAAATTTTGTTTACATGCGGTTGCCGGATTTGCGACGCATTGCGCGAATCGCCATGGCGCGTTGCACCAGAGAAGCAAAGTTTGAAGCAGTACAACGCCACTATATCAAAATATATCAATCTAATTTTTTGTTATGTTATATAAAATTTATCCCCCTTTAACATATGTAAAAATTGAGGTTAAGAAGTATTAAGCTTTTGCAAACGAAACGGCGAAAGACAATTAGATGATATTTAGTGGAAGGAGGAGGTGTTCAACACTTTCAAATGAAACTCAAATTTTGGCATTATACGACCAACAAGTTTGACTTATAGGCATACAGACACAAACATATGAAACTGTTTATTGATATTGTTATGAAACGAATTTATCTATTTCACATTGTAGCCTGAAATTACAGAAAGAAAATAGGATTTCAGGTTTGCAAAAAGGAAAATTTCGCAGGCCTTCAAGCGCACCAGAAGCGCGGAAAGAGCGCTCGTGCCAGTCCTACTCCGCATCACACATTAAATGAAGAGCGGAGCGCTCGTTTCACCGCCCAGCCTTTATCCGCCCTCGCTAGGAGCTTCGCTTCATCCCGCCATAATCACCGCGCGGTGATTATAACATTAAAGGCTGACAGTTTTCAAAATGGCAGCCAGATTTGTTGATGTTTCGGAGTCGCAAATTGATCAATAATTTTATTTTCTCGAATAATCATCAATGTAATTATACTAAAACAATTAGTCGCCTCAGGCGACGTGAATATCAGCGAATAGTCACCTCGACTCTCGGTGACTATTCGCCGATATTGAAGTCGCCTTCGGCGACTAATTGTTAATTATCCACCATTTGAACAACCTGGGGCTTGATATACAGTTCCCATTTATCCGCACCACATTAGCCACGAAGCTATCGACAGCATGATTTGTATAGTTATTCTCATTATATCAGTCATGTATCTACAGTTGACTACTTACTTTAGAGGTAGCATATTTCAGCTGGCTAGGACAATGACGAGGTGACACGACGTACTTACCAAAGAATCGTTTCCACACATGTTTTGCAATATCTATGACCACATGCTATTGTTTGGACAGCTTCTCTAAGAAGACCCTCACATTTAGGGCATAAATGCTTTTTGTCGATTACTGATCGGTCCGCCGAAGATAACTCATATCCAGGCATTGTAGGCCTATAAAGGTAGATGCAAGTACAAACAAATAAAATTACTTGCTGTATTGTTACTGGAAAAACAAATCGAACAACAAGCAAATATTGGTCAAGTTAATTGATTTTATATTAAAGAGGCCTTACCAGGGTAAATTACGACAAGCGACATGACCCAAAAAGTAGCGACAGGGCCTAAAATGAAATCACGACAAGAGAGAACCTCACTCGGCCAAATTGCGACAGTGACGGCAAAGCCGAGAATAAGCGACAAAGAACGGTGGTTTGGCTAATTTATCACCAGTCTGAATGCCAAGAAGAAGTAAGGTGTTCGATACGCGAAATGTTAACTGAGAAATAAAAAACAAACAGGGCGACGGGCGCCCCCCCCCCCCCCCCCTCCTCACTGGCAGGGCCTCATTAAACTGTGTCGAGCCGGTAGATCAAGTATTTGCCGATCACAAAGCTAGGACATAACATAGGGTCACTTTTATCTTAACCTCGATAATAAACAAATACTCGAGCTATATCAACAACACAATTATATTAGACAAACACTATTTCTGTAATTATCATTTTTTTCTATGAGGCATGTTCCCGCTATTAGATGGTTCTTAAACTCATTCTTTGCTGACGTTTACTTACCTGCCTTCTAATTAACTTTATGGCACGGTCTATGGCACAAGATTACTTAGTCTAAGAAAACCGCGGCGGATATCAAGTCAAAGAAAAAGAGCTTAAAAAGCTCTGCCGTTAACCAGTGTGATCTCACGAGCACCACAAAATTGCTTTTAAGCTTTAGCAAGCGAAATTTGTAAAAAGATAATGTTAAGATGGTGTAACATATCCTGAAACTAAAAACTTAGAAGAGGGAAACATTCTTATTTTGGAATTTTTAATTCTTGACGTCACATATGCAAAAAATTCTTTGACAGCAAATCTCGGTATGTGAATTGTTCCGCTACATTTTTAGAAAGCCTCATGGAGAAAATAGCAAAAAAATAAACATTACATTACTGATTACTGATCGGTCCGTTGGAGAAAAATTGTATCCGGGCATAATAAGGCTAAAGAAAGATAAAAGATAATAGAACTGAGGAACAAATTTACTGCATGTAATTGTGTTTTACTATTTTTGTATTTTTATCATTAAGTTATGGTATTTTTTATCGTATCCTTGCTGTAATGTGGCCCTCAATGCGTATCACCAACGTTGAGTACAAGTGTCAACCAGCAGTTGAAAGGCTAAATTTCCCAGTTTGAACCCTCTTTTCAAAAACCTGTTAAGCCTGGAATTTACAATAGGTTCTTATCAGTTTCTAAAATCTAGCCCAACGCATATGTGATCAGTGCTTAGTTTTTCGTTGTATAGCCATTTTTACTTAATTACTTATTTTTGGTATGCAGATGTTGTTTAAGGAATAGGCTGACGTAATAGCTAGCATTACAGCGGTGATTATATTGGCGTGAACACCTAAAATATGTCTGGAATGTTTATTGTGTTGCAACCAATCACAGGTGAGATCTTCACACCGCAGAAATCACAGCCAACGACAGTTTCCGATCAGTCATGGAACAAATTATTTTCGTTTTGTTTAAGGATACAAACTGCCTTATTAGGAATTTAAAACACCGCTGTTCTCCAAGATCAGTGACGAGGACCGCATCCAGTACATCGTTCGATTTTAGAAAGAAAAGTTTTAGAAGCCAACGCGACGCGACGGCGACCAGCTTTCCATGTAACGACATATCACACTAAGACAATAAAAAATGAACAATCGTGATGTTTTCGTTTCTAATAGAATAATCCTTGCTAATATTTTTTTGTAGAACAAGGGGATTCGATTTGTGTGGACTAACGATTGAACCTTCGAACTACTGTGCTGGCAGAAGTCCCTTGATCGCAAGGTCACAAACTGGAAAGACCGCCGACCAAATTCAACATATATGGAATGATTGGCACATCGCGCAACATAAACAGTCCAATTTTCGGTATTCCTTCCAAAATATAATTTCGCTTTTTCTCTGAAAGCATTTACGCATTTAATATCTGGGGGATTACATGCTATAGGAAGTTAGTTATGAGGGGATTTAGCCAGGAAGATTTCAAGTCCAAATTAGCACATTTTGCGCGCAAAAGAAAAAAAAATATGACTATCTCCGATCGCAGTTCTTCGATCTGCTTCGATTTTTCACAAAAAAGTGTTTACGCTTACTGCATTAGCTGCGAAGCGATGGAAATCAGAAAACTCTAGCGGCTTACCTTGCAACATTGTAACTTGCGATCAGGCGAAACTACCGATTTCGATCGTTACAAAAGGTTTGAAAACTCGCGCGCCAAACCGTCGCGTGCGTAGGCCCGGCACATCGGCTTTGTAATTTATTTCAAAATCGCTCAAACCTGTATTCTTCGCTATTATAGCAAATAATGTAAACAAATAGGAAGGAAAAGCAATTGTTTACTTGAAAAAAGACTGAATGTTAAAACAAAATGAAAATAATTTGTTCCGTGACAGATAGGAAACCGTTCGTTGCTTGTGGTTTCTGTGGTGTGATGATCTCGTCTGTGATTGGTTACATCACAATAGACATTCCAGACATATTTCAGGTGTTCACGCCAATATGATCACCGCTGTAACATTCTCTTAACTCAGCTATAATTACTTTTTTTTTTTGAAAATATAAATAGCCTACATTTGTGCAAATTATCATTTATGTAAGAAACTCAGATTATGAGAAAGGAAGGTATTATTCGTACTTCAATTCATTACAGTTTAAGTCTAGAAATATTGATAAACGATTTTTGTTCGTGGCTTTAATGTAAAATACACCACTCTTGCCTCATTATGTTATGTTTTCAATTACATTTGGTACTGACAGCTATCACTGTATTTCGATCCACCGACGCTAAGATGATTACAATACAATACAATACAATACATTTTTATTAATTTTTCCCAATAGGGTTTTTCCGAATCAATTTACATGTACAAGAAAAATATAAAAAAATATAAATATATATAGAAAACTAATGATGTAATAGTGTTTACAATTTTACAACTTTTCCGCATGATAAAAGCATGACGCACTTGATTAGAAATTCAAGACAGAGTTCTTTACTGAAGGAAAGGCAATTTACATAGAGTACACTGAGAAATTAAAAATAAATTTAATAGTTACATTGGCACTCCGTATAACAACTGACCTCTATTTTATGGTGCAACTCGCTCGTGAATTCGTGAAAAATAGATGATCGAAAATTTTGTGATACCTTGCAGAAGACCTGGGGCAACTAAACCTTCTGGTAAGAAGCACGAAGTCAGCAAAATCAGCTCCATTTTTCATGCCTACGAAACTTTTTCAAGAAACGTTTCATCTATTTTGCATTTTGTGATGCAATCATTACTAAAGTTTCTAAAATTTACTTACCCCATGAAACAGAGGCTAACAATTAGTGTCAAAAAAGGTAGAAGTAAACAAAAGAATACCGTGAATGGAATTCAGTGTGTATACTTGTGTGTATTTCGCGAGTTAAATCAATCTAGGTACCCTCACTGTCACGCCACACAAAGTAGCCCGAAGTGTTGCAAGTTTAGTCATTAAAGACCCTGGCTACTAACACTTTTAGTTCGTCTGTGTTTCTAGTACGGTGCCTTTCTCTTAAGACATATATTACCAGGTGTTTGTAAATTGCTGACTGGTCTCCGGAACTCATTAGGTCATTAAGATTCATATGACGTAATATATGACGCATGGTTGCGTAACAAAGACAGCATTTAAATTAGATACATCACTGCGTTGATTATTGCATTACTACTGTAGTAGGTATGAAGTCGTGTTTTACATCAAATTCCAAAATATGGGCGTAAAGTTTTAAAGATGCTATTTTAGTAAATGTTTCATGGGGGGCGAAAAAGTAAAATTCCGCCCTCGTTGCTCGCCGCTTCACCGCTCGACATTTCGCACTAACTACTTTCCTACTCCACTTCTCATATTCAGTTTACGTAAATAATTGAACATTTACTTCCTTTACTTTACTAATCAGGTGAGACCAAAATTCCTTTGACGTAAGTAAAAAGACACAACTAAGCTTGCTCCTAAAGGGCGCAGAGGAGTTATTTGTAGTTAAATTTTACAGTTGATACTGCGAATCGCCTAGTTTGTTTTACTGTAGAATCAAGCAAAACGTGATGCCATTGTGTTACAAACCAAAATTAAAATGCTATCCGATGCTCCGGAAAACCGCTGAAGGAATGATTCGTGCCTCGCTTGGAAAGCTTCGCTTACCAAATGCGTCGCCCTTCGGGCGACGTTCATCCCCACAGAGCATCGTATAACATTTTGCCAGGTTTGTAACACGATCGCCTGACGCTTTGATCGGTCAAGATCACATTCAGTTCTACAATAAACAATAAACGAAGAAGATTCGAGTTATCAATTAATACAACCAAGGTCAAAAATAGCCTGCGTAGCAAGCGTTTCCGCGCGAGTTTGTCGAGAAAGTTGGCACGAGAGCAAAAAGCTCTCGGTCTAACTTTCGCGCAATAACTCGATTGGAAACGCTTGCTACGCAGGCTAGGTCAAAAATAACTCCTCTGCACCCCCTGTGTCCTCCGCTCTCTAGGAAAGCAAGGGCTAGCCTCCGTTCCTTGCCTCAAGCCCCCTCCCCCACAAAGTGGGGGAGGAAGGCGTGACGAATCTAGAAATTGCTAAAATGCAGTTACTATGTGGCCGGCCACGTAGCAAGATAAGAGAACATGTGGCCCCTCGATATACCCAATAAAATCTTTTTGTCTTGGGTTTTCCGAGGGATTAATAATAAGTTGAAGCCATAAAAAATAGAGTATCGGGTCAACGCTAACTTGACAGGCAACACAATGATTTTATTTTTGCGGGAGGGCTCATAATTTTCACAAGTTTTATTTGTACAAGTTGGAGTCTTATAGGAAGCAGCGTGCGAAATATTTTTCATTTTCAGTTACGTTCTTCCTATTCAAAACAGCAGAAATAGGCGAATC